AGTAAGACAAAACGAATGGAAAAACAAAGCTGTAAATGAATTAAACAAAATGAGTTAAAAAATTTCAATGCTAATCTTTTCTGAATACCATCACAATTCCAACTTAGTCTCGTACTTTGCAAATATCATAGAATTTCAAATTTGATAAATTTTCTCTACCAGATTTACAGAAATGTTCAATGAATCAACAATAAGAATAAAAATAAGATAGTTTCAACAAGTTATTTGTAATGATGAAAATAGCATAAAAGGCTCAAACACTTTTCAGGGAAGAGTAAAATTAGGGAAAAAAAACAGAGAGAATGAGTCATGTAGAAGCTCTTATTCCTCATATTTTACCATCCACTTATAACAAATAATTAAATTAATAATATTATTCCCTAATTGTTAACAACTTTCTAAGTTTCTTAAAAAGAAAAAATAAAGTATTATCACAGTTCCTTATGTTAAAAATAAAAAACTAAGAACCTGAGATAATGTAATATATGTGTTAAATAAAATCTAATTGCGTGGTAAACGTCCAAAAATCTATCTAGTGTTACCCTGAGAACTTTGAAGATAATAAAATAACATTGGACTCTTATGATTTACTGCTTCATGAATCGATACTTGTAGTTGCACAAACAGTTCTTTATTTTGACTGCCTTTTATTCATATCTAAAATTTTCTTCTCAAATATATTTTGTCTTGTTCTTCAAGCTTAATCCTTGTCTGTTCTTATCTTTCGGGTAAAAAGTGATTATAAGACCGAGGATAATGATTTTGAGAATTGGAAAGTTAACAACCTAAGAAATAGTCTCAAGATATCAAGCTTCATTAATGAGTTTTGCTTGGGAATGATTTTATCATGATACTGAAGCAGCATCGGTAAAGAAATCATTTGGAACAATGGTTAAGATTGCAAAAGACACACATGATAGACTTTTTTTTATGTGATTGCACCTTATTTTGTCTGTAAATAATATGTTTGGCCCAAAAACAAAAAAGGAAAAAGAAAAAGATAAAAAAAAAGATAAACAAATATATATATATATATATGAAGTGTCCAAGGTCATGACAATTCTTTAGTTCAATGATTGGGATATCAACGTAGGTCAACAGTAGCAATTTCAAAGGCTTCAAGATCCTCTTTACAAATTTTCAAACTGGGCAAAGTCAAGTAATGCTACATCAGAGCAAAATTGTAACTACATTATACAAAACTTTGAAACAAAGACCGTCTTCACACTGAGAAGGTCTCATTTCTCTCACAGGAAATCTTTCGATTTCAGGAGGTCCTTTACTGCACAAAGTGGGCTATCATACAACAATTGCATAGAAAACTACACTTTGAAGTTGAAGGATGGAAAGAGAGGTCATTTACATTCAAGAAGTGGATTCCCGTGAAGAACTACACTTCGGAGCTAAGGCTAAAAAGACAGTTTTTTATATTCAAAAGTGCAACAACATTTCCGTGAAGAATAATATGTGGCTAGAAAGATGATTTTTATCAAAGATCTTGAGCTAAACTCAAATAATGGGTGAGGTAAATGAGATGAACTCTAGAGGAGTTTACGCAACCAATTCTCAAAGTTATTTGTCGAAAGAAATTGGAGCATTGCTAATCTTCTATTCATTTGATTATAATCTCTTACCCAAAGCTTCAATAAAAAAAATATTCAATCTCCGTTCCAAAGATTTGACAAAATATCTATGAACTATTGGTTTCCTTTTCTTTAAAAAGGAAGCTTGCTGACGTTTATTCTTCGTCAAACGTTATAGCAAAATCATGATTTCCATCCTCCTTTGTTCATAAAGCAACATCCATTTTCTTGTATCCATCATTCTTGTCAATTATAAAGCCGAGGTTATGAAGTAGTTTAATAAATCAAGATGTATAATGTTATGAGTTACCTTTGATTGTTCTCTAAAATGACATATGTGTTACCTCTACAAAAGAAACTCACCAAGCCTGATATGGTTGAGAAATTACCTTGATGTATATATCTTTTATCAAGTTAAAACATTCATTAAAAAATAATAATAATAAAAATAATAAAAAAGTTGACAAGTTTCCTCCAATATTAACACTATTGTTGTTCTTTGCTAAATATTTACTAATAAGAGGGATGAGAGTAGACAAAAGATAATATCTTTGCTTAAAAAATTTTGAAAGATTTCTTATTCTCTCAACCATATTTTTACAAATCATGCATTCACATAACTTGCATATATATTCTTCAAAAAATAAATTGTTTTCACATCATGGTTAGATTATGAAAAATTAAGTATCATGCATTGTCCATTCATAATCACATTTCATTGTCCAAACAAAAATTAGTATCATGCATAAATGTTGCATTCTAACTTTTAGTAGGTATATACATTATTGCATCATGCATTGAAGATCAAATTCATTGGTTAAGCTAAATAAAAAACGGATCATATGTTGTCAAACATTGTCAAGTGATAAAAATAAATGCAAAATAAAATGGAGCATCATTTGTCATTCATGACATTAGGGCAATACACATTTGTAGATGCACTCATACATCATAAGATAATTGCGCCAGAGGTCACGTAGCAGCTTCCCATGGAGCCTACTGCAGATCTCTTTAGCTTTTACTCGGACATTAGAGTTAGAGCTAGTTGATAGGCCACACTCAATTGTTAGCGACAATGTACCTAGTCTTCATTAGTTGTTTCTGGTAGGAGCTCTTTCGTTTACAAGGGGACGTAATTTAATATGAGTACAACTTTCCACTACCTATGATGAATTGGTTTAGTCTGACCTTTTGCTTAGATATCAGACTCCCGCTACGATAAAAACTGCATACTGTCATTGGAAGTTCGCATTCGCATGAACACGTGGTTTTTGTTAGTCTTATTGTCATGCGTCAAGTGCATATCTCACGTATTTAAGCAAGTTTAGGAGGATTTCTAACCTCACTCAAGTCAAATAACTTCAGCTTTGTTTCGGGAAACTACATTATCTGTTGGATTCACACATGACACATCCTTATCGGAAAGGGAAAAAAATGTGACTTTAAGTCTGTAAAGCCAAGTTTTATCTCTTCGATATTTCGACTGTCTACCAAGTCGACGCCCGTTATGGTCGAGCTGACCAAGATCTTCTTTGGTCTCGTTCCCATTCTTTGTTTGACCTAGATGTGTCTTACTCAGCCACATATTCCGACAAACTCCATGACAGCAGGCCATGATTCACGCTTACCTTAAACAGCCGTTGAGGCCCTGTCGGGAGTCGTGTCATAGATCTTGCCTACATATAGAAACCATTTGCTTCTATCGTAGGTACGCGAACATTGTATTTTCTCTCGAAGACAGCTCGATTTCTTCTTGACTTGGGCATCAGAGTGTTTTCTGTTGCAGGTTTCCAGCTCAACACGTTTCAGCTCATCCTCAAAGTCATCCTTCCTTCCGAGCTGAACTCGAAAACTTGGTCATTTTTGTAATCAAACATTTATCTTTCGTTTAAATTGAACCCGATCAAAGATCGTGGTCGAAGCCTGTGTCAAGCCAGGTCCGTTGCCTTTCAATTTCCTATTGGTTAAATCGAACCTGATCCAAGTCGAGGTCAAAGCCTATGTTAAAGCCAAATCTGTTGCATTTTATCATTCGGTTAAGTCGAATAAATCGAACCCAATCCAAGTCGAGGTCGAAGTCTGTGTTAAAGCCAGGTTCGTTGCATTTTATCATTCCGTTAAATCGAACTCCATCCAAGTCGAGGTCGAAGCCTTTGTTA